TTTTTTTTTTTTTCGCCCGCTCGCACCGACTTTGGGGTCCCCAGAGGATGTCATCCATAAAAATAAAAAAGTGTGGCCTAACTGTCATCATTTGCAAAAGGAATATGCCGTGAACTGGGAGTGATAATAGAAAGGATTCAACTAAAGACAGTTTTCTCGACATTTAAAAATACAACTTGAGACCTGAATGTAACACTTTATGGCAGACTATCAGCAGCTTACCAGATATCATACATGTTTGGTATGATTCTCTTTAAAATAAATTTTACCGTGTACATCCCAACTTATTTGTGTTGCGGTACGTATTATTATTATTATCAGCAATAGTAGTAGTAGCAGTAGTGACAGTAGAAGTAGCAGAAGCAGCAACAGCAGCAGTAGTAGTCATGGTAGTAGTAATGGCAGTGGCGGTGGTAGTCGTAGTAGAAGAAGAAGAAGTATACTAACCAGTTTGTGTCGGAGTTGGGTGAAGCTGGGTTTGAAACTCCTGGAGTGTTTCTGTATGAGATGTAACGGTTCTTCCTGTGACACCATATCCCCCGTTCTCCGCCCTTGGGAAGTACGCCGGGAGAGTAAGGTTCCCGGGTTCCGCCTGTGTGATCTTTGAACAAGAATCAGCGACTGAAACAAAATGTAGTAAAAGAAATATGAATCACAGTGACCAAGTATATTGGTAAGTTTTCAGAAAATGCTTTCAGAGTATTCAGGCGTGAGAATCAGTTTTACTCCTTTAATTGAAAATATTCATGATTAATCAATACAATGGTGTAGAGTACCGTGCAGTTGTTGATCTCAATTTTCATTGTGGATATAAATTTAGTACGTAATTACTGACATGATTAGCTCGATGCCTAAAAGTCTTATTCAAAAATGAAAGATTAAAAAAAAATTCTGTTCTCTTGTGTCGTGACACTGCTAACGTTGGAGGAGGAGGAGGGGGGGGGGGGAGGAGGAGAAATCGACGTCATACGTCTGAAGTAACTCACCAGAGACATCCACATTCTTTCCAGGGACACGCCTGGTTAGCGCTGTACAGAAGGCCTTAGGGGTCTTTATTTCCAGGAATAAATTTGTGAACCTTGGGGGCATTGCTCTAACAACGTCTTCGGTGTCTCCTACCAAGATGGAGTCATGCGGTGGAGTCAGGTTCCTATGCTCTGGTGCTGTGAACTCTGGGCAAGACTCGTCGGCTGAAGTTTAAAATGGAATGAAAAAACTATATTTCAAAGCCATTCATCTGCATAATTATTACAATAGCCTACCCCTCCCACCCTCCCCAAAATTTTGATAAATAGATGTTGATTTTTGTGGGAGTGCTGTGGGGCACATATCCAAAGAGGGAAACAGTGCCATACAGTGTATGTCTGTAATATTCTAAGTTTATAATATATGTATACTTTATATAGAATATATCTTGGAATCTTGGAATATGTCACTTTACCAGGGATATCACTGTCCATCCCAGCGGCAGGTCCAGTTGGCAGAAGTGGAGGACACTGGCGGGTTCTAATCTCCAAATACGTAAAGTAAGGAGAAGTAACGGTCCTGCCAGTTACAAAGTCTTCAGCCTGGTCTCTCACGATGGGGTGACTCTGAATAGTCAGGTTCATCGGTGGTTGAGACTCCTGACTAGCTGCGGCAACTAGGACTGGAACTGAAATATATCAGAAAATGAATAAATAAATTGACTAGGGTTTTCAGAGTATTCTGAATATATATATACTAGATCATATCTGAACTATTTGCAGAGAGAGAGAGAGAGAGAGAAGTAGTAGAATAGAAGAATAGAAGAAGATATTGTGAATATAAATAAATACCTTACCACTAAGTTGTTCAGGTTGATCTTTGATTCCGCTCTCTACCGTGTCCCTGTCCAGTACTTCAGTCCTAGGTATCCAAGATGTAATGTTGACTGCCTGGATGGGAGGAGGCTGGTCAACTGAACAAACAGAAAATAACCATGAAGAGGCACAAATTGCTTGAGATTTTCAGAGGATTCTGAATAAATATACAAGATCATTAACCTATTTGCAGAGAGAGAGAATGAAAATGACCTATACGTAAAGTATAAATCATCACACAGACGCAAATTAGTACCCTAGAAAGCCAGCCGCACAACGCTCAAGTGAAACTAATTTTTTTTAAATTAAAAGCAACCAGATGATTTGATTCTTCCTCTCTTGCTGGTTGTGCCATGATCTTATTATAATCTCAACTTGATTGTATATCTAATACATATCTGATATACGTATCTTGCTTGGAAGAAAAAAATATGTATAAAACGTAAACTTTTGAAGAGTTGTAAAGTAATACCGAACTTCTCTCGCCTCTGCCTTTAGACTACAGTGAGGAATTAAAACCTATTAACTCTCAATAAAACACCAGAAGTTGCTCTTACCTCTTTCTGAAGTGACGCGGACAACTCTGTTGTCCTTTATTATGTGAATGCTGATGTTCACTTGTGCGATGTCATTGGCACTGAAATCGTAATGATGTTTTCAATGTTCTATAACGTTTAGTAGAAAATAAATGTTAACAATCGGATTCTCCGATGTGCTGATTTGAGAATAATTTATGGTCTTTTGCGTGACTAACTCTGTTATTGTTGAGGGAGGCTGGGTTTACATACAAATATGCAAACCTAAATAAACACGTTGCTAAATTTCATCTTTATCCAAGTCAGAGCTGATTACTTCCCTTTGTTACATTCCCGGGAGGCAGCAAAGCGATAGTAATATAAGGCTTCTCAACTGAGCGAAATCCCTATGATATTTCGGTTTTAGCCACTTACCTATTGAACTGGTACAGTGTACCGATCCAGCATCCACATACAAAACTAAGTATTATACAAATTATCAATATTTTACTCTGCGAATCCATATTGCACGTAACGGTGCTTATGCACGTCCGTATCCATTTTGCTGCTAGGCAGAAATGGGCGGAGGCGTATCTATAAACATGGTGACGTCATATCGACTGTGTCGTCACAATGTGATACGGTATATATCTTTGACTGTTGCTGTCTTGTCATTTTTTAAACAAATGAAGAAATAATGAAATAAATACAATGAAATAATAAATAAAGAAACATCATAAATGTATTATAATGTAATTTATTCACATCTTTTAAGGATTCATCTCTGGAGTGCACCAAAGATACCCTTTATTAGGGGACAAATACAAGTACGTTTTCTGGGAAAATATTTCCATAAACACTTACCTATATGATATACATGTTCCAATATATCTATATTCTAGAAATATATACATTAATATAATCACTGGCACTACGTATTGCTAAACTTATCAGCAGTTTTTTTACATTGCAATTATCACTGGTAAGCCTGATGAAAAAATAGGATTATCTCTAACATCTGGACACCCTTACAGGAGAAACAAATCTCACATACATACGGTGCCACAATGAAATATTATTCAAATAATAAACATATGCAATTACATTAAAAAATGAGATCATTCGGCTATAAGGATTGCACTCTAATTAAATATTCCTTTTCAATTGCCATTGTTAAAAATTTTAAGTGCTTTTTAACTGTTATTAAAACTTCCAAGTGCTCTTTCACAGGCTTACAGATGCATGTAAATATTTGCAACCCATAAACATAACTAAACAGAAAATTTGAATTCATATCAGGGTGCATGATTAGTTGATTGTGCAGTCTTTGGTACAAAAGAGGGTAATCATTTGGTTACAATTTTTCATTACATCCACTTATGTTTAGTGCACTCTTTGAACCAGTGGAGACCTTAGCCTCTTACCAAAAGATAAAAGGACCTAATATACTCTCCATTTCTCTAGTAATTAGTTTGTGAACCGTCAGAAAAATACATATGTTCAAAATTGCTTTTACAAATGCGAAATTTAACACTGAATTAACACAGACGATATAAATGTCAAGATTAAACAGTTATTGATGCTTGTTATACAAATAAAAATTTTGATATTTTTGTATTAGTTATGTGGACAGGACAGAGATTTAGCCAAAAAGGCAAGAGGTCAGCAGAAAAAGATCTGCAATTTACAGACCTGCCTGGCAGTGCCTCTTCTCTATAAGAAGTGCTGTGTTAGAAATAAGTGAATATATATATATAAAAACCAAAATCCTCTTCTTAATATAAGATCATATTTTTAATGTATAGTTGTGACTCTGATAGTGTAGTGAATCAACATGGGAACTATTCTGAAATAAGTAAGAAAAATTACTTTGAAACTGTGCACAATACCAATATATGGGAACTTATCTGCAAAAAAATGCAAACTTTAAAAAGTAAAAAAAAGAGCAAAAATACAAAACGTTGCAAAATACCCATCAACGAAAGAGCACATTCTTTCTTTCCACTTTGCCCTGTCATGGTACCACATCGTTTTCTTTTTAATATTAATACTGGCTGTGACTACTGAATGAGACTACGTGGAGAATATGCCCTCCATGGTGGGATAAGACAGAACTTGCCAACTGGCCAAGCACTGCCACAGTTAGATAAGATATGTAAGACATGTCGCTGTCCTTAGAGTCTCCAACTCTGTGCACAATTCGTCACATTTTTTTAAAAAAAGTGGGTCCCTTTTTTTTCAGGTGTTATTCTAGTCAATGACATGGTAATCTATGTATTTGCACATTGTAAGACCTCTGCTGTCGCAGAACTGTGTGGTGTCCAATGAAAAGACATTGGTCAGCCTCTGCATGTTATATATAGACCAGTTAACATTGACATGGTCCCTCACCATCTGGAGACATCAGATGGCCATGTGTCACTGGGCATTTTGTTCCTGAGCCAAGTATCACAGTGGCATGGTCTATTACAGTAAGGTGTTATCTCAACTGTTTTAATGTGTCATTGATGATATTTCTTCTCTGACTCAGGGGTGCAGAAGCAGGGGTGAGCAAGGTGATCACAAACAACATGTGGCCTTATGTCAGGATATCATGGACTGTCATGGTGGCATAATGTCAGATGCCCTGCACTGTCACTGTGACACTATGTGGTTGTGTTGTAGCCACATGACAGAATAATCCAAGACATGGCAGATTAACAGCTGCCGTTTTCACATAGTGTCATGATTGCCTGAACTGTCACTGTGATGCTGAGTCATGGTGTCCCGTGCTGTCACTGTGACACTGTTATGATGTCCTGTGCTGTCACTGTGACACTGAGTCATGGTGTCCTGTGCTTTCACTGTGACACTGTAATGATGCCCTGTGCTATCACAGTGACACTATGTCATGATTGCCTGAACTGTCACTGTGACATAATTACTGAACTGTCACTGTAACATTGTGCTAAGATGCTCTGAACTGTCACTGTGTCCTGATCACCTAAACTGTCACTGAGACACTGTGTGTCAGGATGCTCTGGACTTGGCACTTGTCTCTCCGCGTATCCCTGGTTCTTCTTGTAGACTCCATCTTCCCACTGTGCCTCCACTGCTCCCAGGACCTGTGAAATAGATAACATTTAGCCTGTGGTTCTCTTAAAGGAACAGTTAATGGGACTAGAGCAATGAAATCATGGAAATGGACTTTCAACTGATTACAAGCTTTCACTCTTATGGCTGATATACTGCACATATGGTACACTTCAGCTACTTTCTCTGTAATCAGTTACAAGGTGACCAAAATTTTTTTCTTCAAAATAAAACCCCGCTTCTTTTTAAAAGCTATGCATACTAAGCATCTGAAAAGTGAGTCCTCTTTTAAAAGTGACAATAATGTAAAAATAACATCTGTTTGATATCAACAATTTTTGTCTAAAATTGGGAAGCTTTCATTCCACTTACCACTGTCAGTAAATGTGTTCTGAAAGTTGGTCATGGTTTCATGCAATCTTCGCCTCTCTCGCCCCTAAAATTAACAAAGTTTACCTACATGAGCTTGCAAAGAACAACTTGCATAGAAGATAATACTTGGTTGTGCTCATCTTAAGTTGGTTTCATGACATGGCAACACTATACTTATAACAATAATTGTTTTTTATGTGACAAAGGATAAACCCTTATTTGTTGAAACAACGTGCTTACGCCCTATATGAAAAGCAAATGAAATCATGCCAATCCTACAAGCATTAATCCGATTGCTGCAATGCCTGACACATTTTTGAAAGAAAAAATCATTTAGCTATGTTAAATGTCCAAAAGCTTTGGCCCATACCTTCCCTGAGTTGAGCTCAGAAATGGCAGAGAGGATCTGTTTCCTAGGTTCATTGCTGTCTATGCCCAGTTCCTGTAGGTCAGCATCGGACAGGGTGAGGAAGGCCTCCATGTCCACCTGTCAGTGAAAATGAGGACTTCTTCAAGGCAACATCATGATACCTTAGCCTACACAAATTTTCTATCCAATTATTTCGAAAAGACTTGATATACATGAAATCTTGATGTGCTATAATTTGATCTGTTACTTAGCTAACGTTTCTTTATTGGATTTGTCCACATAAAAAATATCAAAGAATTCTAAAAATTTTTACCAGTTAGTCAAGATAACATCATACAGATTATAGGGAATCACATACAAAATCCTAAAAGCAACAAGTAGCCAATTCATGGTAATTTCATCAATATTTTTCATCAGCATTCTGACTCAGCCTGTCAAGCTCACTAACCTCCTGTTCCTCAAATATAGGTTGATACCTCTCCAAGGACAGCTTCTTCAGAATACCCCCCAGGTCCCCCTGGTCCTCAGGGTCGGCAGGGTTGGTCTTGGTGTTAGAGGAGCTGGAACGGCTGCCTGAGCTAGGAGCTGACGGCCCCTTGGCTTGCTGTGAAGATAAATAATTAGTTATTTAGACATTGCTTAAATTGTAAACCGTTACTTTTACCTAACTGGTATGTTAAAACTAGGCAGTGGCTTGATCAGTGAGAAAATAACACATCTAATAGGGCTCTGTTGTTTTACCTTCACTTACAATGAAAACAGAGAAATGAACAATGAGAACTATAAAAACTCCCAAAGACTCAGTATGATTCATGTAAGAAAATTGTGTTATCTTACAATCATATACAAACTGATAAATTGTGCCAAGTGATCTCACAATGAAATCTAGCCAAATGCCTTCAACAATGAGAAAAAAATACACAATCTCTCATTACTAACAGTTACCATCAACCACACATGACCCCTGCAGAGGACTGACAGCTTACCTTCCCTGGTGTGGGAGATGGTGACGGTGTCAGGGTAGAGGTGGTGCTGCCGCGGGAGGAGGTACTCTTAGACTTGGGTTTCCTGGGTGTGAGCTGTGCTGAACTGCCACTGGTGGATGAGCTGTTGCCCGAGGTCTGCAGAAAACCTGGGGAACTGGAATAATAATAATAAATAATAATATTATCAAAACCAGTAGGAAAAATACAATCTGGGTAGAACCATCAACAGGTTTAAAAAGGAATACCTACAAAGTTCAGGGGCAAAAGCAGCTTCTTTTGAAAATAGTGGAATGTTAACAAATATATCAATTGAGATAAATATCAAATATATTGCAACAGTTGGTGAAAATATGGACAAAGGAGGAAGTCAACTTTTAACAGTCTTATAGCCCTGAAAATTCATGTCACAAGACAATTATTACAAATTCATCATGCCACAGGCCTTGCCTTTCAATTACAAAATAGCTATACTTTTGACAGTTTGAACTTACAAAGAAACACAGCACTGATAAACAAAGCTTTATGAAGTTAAAAACTGATTGTTTACGACGAGATAAATGGATAAAATTTTGCCACACTGGGAATTTTAAAACTGCTGTTGAAAAATCTGAAGCCTTTTTACAGTTTGAATAATAGATTATCATGACAATAAAGAGCTAAAAAGTCTGGACAGCAAATCAGCAGAAGTCAATTGTGTCCATCTACCAGATCACTAAGAGTAGTTCAATCACACTGGAAGAAATATACACCAGATGAAAATTAATTACACAAAAACAGTTCACTCCTTAACTAAAGTAACACATTAAAAACCTTATGATCTTACCTTGCTGTTCTACCCCTTTTTCTTTGGAAAAAAATGATGGAACTGTTAGTCTCTAAAAACCTAAAATCCCAAACTTAACCAAACACATCAATAATACACCTTAACATTTCTGTAACAGCTTTAGATCACATCTCCTCCCTCTTCCCCCCCTGCCCATGTGCGCATACCCACAAGCTTTATTTCCCTCTCTCTCACCCTCTCTCTGTTGTTTCCCTAAATACTAAGTGTGTCAGTGAATCAAACTTTGACAAGAGGTCTATTAAGCACTCACATAAAGCAAATTAAAATGTACTACCACTGATTAGTTAACAAGGGCTCAGTCTGCAACCTTCACTGTCTCAAGTTGCTTAATAAAATGTATCTAACACTTACCCCCTGCTCTGCTGCTGTACTGTGAGTGCTGTCAGCTTGACTGGGGGCAGGTGGTGTGTGGCTGGCAGGTAGAGCATGTTGTCCTGACTAGATCTGAGATTCACATCTGTTAGATGAATACTGCTGGCACCACTGGAACCTGTGATACAATTACACAAATACTATAATTATAGAAAATTGAAGTTTAAAGGGGTGTGTGTGTGTGTGTGTGTGTGTGTGTGTGTGTGCATGCGTGGGTGCAGGCATGTATGTGTGCTTGATATACTTGTAAAATGTTTAACAACTTTGGAGAGATAGAGACAGAGAGAGTGATCATACTCAGTCAGGACAAAAAACATATATATAGCATATTTAAACAGGTGTAAGAACGGAGATACCTACCAGACTTGCCTAGATACTCTCCATGCTGGTGTACAGTTGATAAAGCCCCCAAGGATACACTGGCTGGTAACCTGGCCCTGCTGAATGCCTGGCCAAACATACTACCACCACCTGAAATACACATAACATAAATATGATGAAGCTGCTGAGAGTTTACATCAGGTCACTGACATATCTGGTTAAAATATTGACAAGTTCTAACAGTAAAGATGACTTCTCACCCTGAAATACTGTAGGTAAACAGCATATTCAATATCAGCTGTTCACTGAATAAAAGTAATAGCCATATTTTCAGTTTTCTCACCACTTTAAAGGAAGTGATCAATACTGAAGTTGTAATAGTTCAATATTTTTTCACTGGCTCCAGAAAACAAACAACCATGGTATTTAGATACACACTATAATGTTTAATTTAACACAGTTTTATAGTTAACACTGTATTATGTATCACAGTTAAAGAGATGTCCAGTCTAAAGTAGTTCAGTTTAAAAATTCTGAAAAAAAAAAACATCAGTGAAGCTCCAAATCCATACCTGAGGACCCAGGGCTTGGGTTGTTGTATGAGTATCTTCCTGAGCTAGAAGGACTGACAGGGCTGGGGCTGATACTGCTCACAGGACGCTTGTTCAGAAACTTCAGAGTATTTGGTCTGTAAGGTCTGCTAGGAGTCTGGGAGAAACAAAAATAAATACTCAACTAGAGGATCAGAGAGGCGATACCGCCTCCGANTATGGGGGGCCTTACCGTCTAGGAGGAGAAGCGGTAACGGTAGCCGTCCGGCGGAGCCGGCGGAGCCGGCGGAACGATCCGGACGAGACCGAAACCATGTGTACCGCCAGCGCTAACGCTGGTGGTACAATTATTTAACTAATAAATAAAATCAAATTATTATCAAATATTTAACTAATAAATAAAACATTTCTGAAGTGTGCAGTAAATAAAATTTAGCGTTACACACAGTGTTTGCCTCTTAGGAAAAATAGTTGTTGGACCTAAAGTTCAGCCATCTTGAAAAGTAGCTGGCTCGAATGTCTGCCAGGTGAGAGAACTTCTCAGCCCATTCTGAAAGTTGTCAGCCCGTGGCAGACGGTCCAACGTTAATTTCTAACACTGGTTACACAAATAAAACTTGGATAATACTCTAGGCTTAATAGAATAAGTTAAATATATAATATCCAACTTGGTTCAATAAAACAGTTCTGGAGTTAGGGATTAAAGTAGAATCAGTACAAATTTACATTAAGATTCCTTAAATCTGTCTACTTAAAGTTATCCAGTGAGCACTTTTTGCCTGCAAACTCAATATCTTGTTCACATAACATTTCTTTGATAAGTTTTGTTAATGTCATACTTACAGTGGTTCCAGCAGTGTCTAATGACACCATTGACCGTGGCCTCCCAAGGGGCATTCTGCGGTCACTATTGTCCATCTCAAAGGTTGGTGGTGGGAAAAATGGAGGTATCACAGGTTTAAGTGTTTCACTTGGCAAGTTACTGTTAATGCCCTAAAGAATAAGGATAAACATATTATAAGATAAACATTTCAGTCTGTATTAAAATCCCAATTTTCAAAATTTATATTGCCATTGCTGACACGGAAGTTGGTTGGGTGCAAAAGCCAGGATTCCTATTCCCATCCATATGGGTGCCCAGTTTTGACATCCGACCAAAATAATTAACGTAATTGGCTTGGTGCAAAATCATGACTACATTCTCTGATAATCTAATAATTAGCACAGATGAATAGCTTTGTATATTTCAAATAAACAGATATTATAGGCAGGCCCGTAGCCAGCAAATTCAAAAGGGGGGTTCTTTTTCTGAAAAAGTGGACCTTTTACAATGAAACTTATGTGTACCTAGACAAAATTTTACCCAAAATGGACTTTTTCCTGACAAAAAGGGCGGTTCTTTCGAACCCCCCGAACCCCCCTTGGGTACGGGCCTGATAGGGTATCTTACAACAAATCAAATAACAGGGTTTTTGTTCATTTACTGGAAAGAAATATATTTATCACATTACTTACCAGAGTAAAAGCATTCTTTTTACTCTCCAGCATAATGGTCTCAAAACTGTCTACTGACTGTAGTGTGAGGGAGGGATCTGCCCCCGGAGTATTGCCATTGCCCTTCACCTTGCTGTCTCCGCCCTGAAGAAGCACAACAGATCACATTGAACTCAAAAGTGAAGTATAATTCTTTAAAGTTCACAATACATAAATTGTCAAAACAACCAGATCACATAATCTCAAAAGTAAAATCTAATTCTTTTCTTTAAAGTTCACTATACATGAATTGTCAAATTAACAAGATCACATTATCTTAAAGGAAAATTAAATTTCTTTCTTTTCAGTTCACAAATCATGCTATGTCCTTCAGTACAACATCAGTAATAACAGCACATTATCAGGAACAGGAGCCTGTCTATTTGGATAGCCTCTGCAACTACTCCCACTACCAGAACAAGGTAAATAAGTTCACCCATCCCTGTTGAAATTTTCTCCTCTTCCCCCCCCCTCCCTGCACCAAAGCATGCACACACACACACACACACACACACACACACACACACACACACACACACCTTAGGACTTGTATTGCCTCTCAGTGTGTCATCAGTAAGAACTGCATTCTCTGGCATTGGAGCCAGTCTATTGGAGCCAATGCGGAATGTGTGTCCCAGTCGAAGATTTCTGAATCTATTGGACATCCTGTTCCACCAGGCTTTTAGACCACTCTTTGGTTCCTCTTCAGCACCTAGGGAAAAACAGTACAAAAAATGAAAATAGAAAATAAAAAAAGAAAAGGGTCAAGTTGAGACATTTTTGTAAACAACTGGACGGAGGACTGTGTCTGAAATTTTTCAGTCCCCTGGAAAAAAAATCTCAAAAAAATACTATTAAGACCATTCAAATTCCTTAGTCTGAACACAAAAGCTATAGGTAATGAAAAGTTATCAAAAAACAACCACTAAAATCTGTATTTATCTGTCTAATCAAGAGATTACCTAAAATATTTATTTTTTATTTTTTACTTTACTAGTACTAGTCTCAGTCTGACACCCT